CAATGATTACACTATTTGATTTTGCTAATAAATATATTTTTATTAATATTTAATTTTTTTTAAATTTATACAATTAACTTAAGTGGTTTTGCCTAGTGTATTATAGCTGTTTCATTCTTTTATTCTTTTATTTATTTTTATATTTTTTTTTGGACATGACTATTTTTCGTCGTTGATGTTATTGAGAGGTGATAATTTTAATCACTGATCTGACAAGGACGGTTAATCCACCATTTGTTTCGTTGCATGTATAGAAAGTGTTCTATGTGTGTGTCCCCTTGTTGTAGACTAAGTCTCTTAGTAATTCGAGGTGTAAATTTTATTCTTCAATTTATCTTAAAGTGACATTTTTAGACCCTCATAGGAAGATCAATTTGATCCAAACAAAAAATGAAATCCTTAATTTCGAAAGGTTACATTTACATTTAACAATTAATCTTTCCCCTACATACTCTCTTACTGGACCTATGTCAATTTTAGGTCAAGGAGTACTTTCTCAAATATGTCTAGTGTTAATTGGTTAAAGGTACCAAGATTGTCCAATATTTGTGGTCCCTAAATGACATAGGTTGAGTAAGTAGATACATAGGAGGGTTGATGCTTAAATGCCTCTAAAGAAAAATGTTACCACTCTGTATTAGTTATTCCCAAATTAAAAAGTGAAAACTAATTATTTTCATAAATTATTTGTGAATTGGTTAATCCCACCCTAAGTTAAAAATAAGTATACATATCCATTAAACATATGACATGTCTAGGGAGTAGTTAATAAGGACTATTAGTTGTAGGAGTTTCTAACATGGTCCAATGATTAAATTAACCTAGCAAAAGAAGGGTTTCTAAATGTGATGTTAAGAACATACATAATCTATTGTATGGAACTGAAAACGCACAACTTTAAGAAAAACTCATGACAAAATATACAATTTAAATTATTGTAAGGGATTGAGTTTATGCCAAGGGTAGAACTCAGAAAATAAATTAAAAGTGACATTTTCTCATTTTAAATTATGAGAATGTTATTCTTGAGTCAAATAGTATTGTGTGTGTGTGTGTGTGTTCTTAGATTATCATGTAAAAAATATCTAAACATATAAGGATATTATTCAATATCAAGCTCGCATGGCAACTCAGTTGGTCACATGTGGAAAGTTTGAAAAGAATAATACTTCCTCTGTGTCATTTTATCTGTCATACTTACTATTTATTGGTCAAACAAACTCTTTCTTTTTTGTTTATTTTCTTTAGTATAAATTTAATTTTTTGTGTTTAATTGTATTTTTAGTGTAGTTTCTAAATATATAAAATTTTTTATACTATTGCTAAACTTAATAATATGAAATATTGAATTAAAAATAACTTCAGTCAAGCCTCGTTAACTTAACCAGACACATAAATGGGACAGAAGAGTATTAAAAATCAAATTTAGTAAATGTGGAACAAAAATTCATGTGTTGACTTTCGAGAACATCTGTCTAGAAAGTGTTAACATTGTCTCTATCTTTTGTCAGCGATGATTTGTTGATGGTTACTATATTAGATATAGTATTTTTTAGTAGAAAATTTTACTAGTTTGCATCCTTATCAAAGAGAGTAACGATTTTAAGTGAACTAGTATTATCACGTGCGATGCACGTGCAAATATGTGAAAATATATAAGTTATATTGTTATAGTAAAATATTATATTAATAAAAGTTAAATTTATATAGTATTATTTATAAATTATAAAAAATGAGATTTTTAGTATATTGTATAAATTCTGACAATGATTACACTATTTGATTTTGCTAATAAATATATTTTTATTAATATTTAATTTTTTTACTTTATACAATTAACTTAAGTGGTTTTGCCTACTGTATTATAGCTGTTTCATTCTTTTATGCTTTTATTTATTTATTTTTTTTTTTTGGACATGACTATTTTTCGTCCTTGATGTTTTGAGAGGTGATAATTTTAATCACTGATCTGACAAGGACGGTTAATCCACCATTTGTTTCGTTTCATGTAGAGAAAGTGTTCTATGTGGGTGTCCCCTTGTTGTAGACTAAGTCTCTTAGTAATTCGCGGTGTAAATTTTATTCTTCAATTTATCTTAAAGTGACATTTTTAGACCCTCGTAGAAAGATCAATTTGATCAAAAAAAAAAATGAAATCCTTAATTTCGAAAGGTTACATTTACATTTAAGCATTAATCTTTCCCCTACATATCCTCTTTCTGGACCTATGTCAATTTTAGGTCAAGGAGTACTTTCTCAAATTTGTCTAGTGTTAATTGGTTAAAGGTACCAAGATTGTCCAAGATTTGTGGTCTCTAAATGACATAGGTTGAGTAAGGAGATACATAGGAGGATTGATGCTTAAATACCTCTAAAGAAAAATGTTACCACTCTCTATTAGTATTTCCCAAATTAAAAAGTGCTTAAATGCCTCTAAAGAAAAATGTTACCATTCTCTATTAGTTATTCCAAATTAAAAAGTGAAAACTAATTATTTTCATATATTATTGGTGAATTGGTTAATCCCACCCTATGTTAAGAAGAAATATACATATCCTTTAAACATATGACATGTCTAGGGAGTAGTTAATAAGGAGTATTAGCTGTAGGAGTTCCTAACATGGTCCAATGACTAATTTAACCTTGATAAAGAAGGGTTTCAAAATGTCATAAATGTTAGGAACATACATAATCTATTATATAGGACTGAAAACATAATTTCAAGAAAAACTCAATTCAAAATATATCATTTAAATTATTGTAAGGGATAGAGTTTATGCCTAGGATAGAATTCAGAGAACAAATTAAAAGTGACATTTCCCATTTTAAATAGTACTTTTTTCTTCTTCTTTTTTTTTTTTTTTTTTTTTTGGGTGTGTGTGTAGTTTTAGATTATCATGTAAAAAATATCTAAACATAAAAGGATAATATTCAAAATAAAATTTAGTAAATGTGGCACAAAAATTCATGTGTTAACTTTCGAAAACATCTGTCTAGGTAGGTGATAACGTTGTCTCAGACTTTTGCCAGCGATGATCTGATGATTATTATATTACTATATTGGAAATAGTATTTTTTTTTTTTACTGAAAAATTTTACTAGTTTGTATCCTTATCAAAGAGAGGAGTAACGTTTTTAAATAAACTAGTATTATCACGTGATTTGCACGGACAAATATGTGAATATATATAAGTTATATTGTTATAGTAAAATATAATAATAATAATAATAATAATAATAATAATAATAATAATAATAATAATAATAAAAGTTAAATTTATATAGTATTATTTATAAATTATAGAAAAATGAGATTTTCAGTATACATAAGTATAAAATTTAAAATGTATGTCTAATTACATGAAATTTATAAATTTGAAATGTCTAAAAAAGTAAATAATAGGAAAGGAGAACTGTCTATTGAGTATGATTACAAGTGGAGAATGGGAGTGGTTTTATAGGTGGGATGTGAGCATTCCATTTCATCTGCATTTATTGGTACGGTACAAATTTCGACAATGATTATACTATTTGATTTTGCTCATAATTACATTTTTATTAATATTTAATTTTTTTTTGTACTTTATACAATTAACTAATTATGTGGTTTGCCTAGGAGTAATATAGATGTTTTATTCTTTTATTTTATTTTTTAATTTTTTTGGGTAAGACTATTTTTTGCCATTGATTTTTTGAGAGGTGACAATTTTAGTCTCTGGTCTTACTAGGATGGTTAATCCACCATTTGTTTCACTGCAGGTAGAGAAGGGTTCTATGTGGGTGTGCCCTTGCCGTAGATTGACTAAGTCCCTTAGTAATTAATTCGAGGTGTAAATTTCATCCTTCAATTAATCTTAAAGTGACATTTTTAAACCTTCATAGAAAAATCACTTTAATTCATAAAAAAATTGAAATCCTTAATTCTGAAATGTTAATTTTACATTTAAGCATTAATTTATTCCCTACATATCCCCTTACTAGACCTATATCATTTTTAGGTCAAGGAGTACGTACTCAAATTTGTCTAGTGCTAATTGTTCAAGATTTGTGGTCCCTAAATGATATGGGTTGAGTACGGAGATACATATATAGGAGGGTTGATGCTTAAATGCATCTAAAGGAATATGTTAGCACTCTCTATTACTTACTCTCAAATTTAAAAGTGAAAACTCTATTTATTTTCATGAATTACTGGTGAATTGGTTAATCCCACCCCGAGTTAATAAGGAATATACATATCCAATAAAAATATGACATTTTAAGGGAGTAGTTAATAAGGAGTATTAGTTGTAAGAGTTTCTAACATGGTCTAATGACTAAATTAACCTAGCAAAAGAAGGGTTTCAAAATGTCATGTTAGGAACATACATAATCTATTGTAAGAGACTAAAAACACAACTTCATGAAAAACTCATACAAATATACCATTTAAATTATTGTAAGGAATTGAATTTATGCCAAGAGTAGAACTCAGAGAACAAATTAAAAGTGACATTTTTTCATTTTAAATTATGAGAATGTTATTCTTGAGTCAAATAGTACTTTTTTGTGTATAGTATTAGATTATCATGTAAAAAAATATCTAAACATAAAAGGATAATATTCTAAATCAAATTTAGTGAATGTTGCACAAAAATTTATGTGTTGACTTTCGAGAACATTAGTCTAGGAAGGTGATAACGTTGTCTCTATCTTTTAGCAGCGATGAAATGATGATGGTTATTATCTTTGAAATAGTATTTTTTTTTTTTACTAGTTTGCATCCTTATCTAAGAGAGTAATAGTTTTAAGTGAAATAGTTTTATCACGTGCGATGCACGGGAAAATATGTGATAATATATAAATTATATTGCTATAGTAAAATATAGTAAAAGACATTTTTTATCCTAGGCTTATAGTGGCACGGACAATTTTGGTCCTTAATTAAAAAAATCAGACAATTTGTGGACACTCTTATTATAACGAGGACAATTTTGGTCCTCCGTCACTCTTCCCGTTAGATGCGCCGTTTGAGAGGGGGTATTTGTGTCTTTTCATGCACCATCATCGTCATCTTCGTCCCCTTGGCCAGAAAAGTCACTGGACTCGAGCGTGACATCTCCTTTCTCAGCCGCATGGGCATCGACTTCTTCATCTCCATCCTCGCAACTCTTGTGGTCGGCTTCGTGGAAATAAAACGGAAGAACGCCGCTGCCCATGGAATAAGCGACAAAGCAGACACAATGATTCCCATTCCGGTTTTCTGGTTGGTGCCGCAGTACTGCCTACACGGGATGGCAGAGGCCTTCATGTCAATCGGCCACCTGGAGTTCTTCTACGATCAGGCACCGGAGAGCATGAGGCGCACGGCGTCGGCGCTATTCTGGACCGCCATCTCCGCCGGGAATTACATGAGCACTCTCTTTGTCTCTCTGGTCCACAAGTTCAGCACGGGCCCCGGTGGATCAAACTGGCTTCCGAATAACAATTCGAACAAAGGCAAGTTGGAGGACTTTTACTGGCTCATCACATTGCTGGAAGTCGATCTTCAACTTTGTTTACTATCTTTTCTGTGCAAAATTCTAAAATTTCAAACCAATTCAGATCTAGAAAATGGAAGGTGGTGGGTGGTGAGCCCAGAAAGGATGGGACGATTCAAATTGCAAACAATGTTTAGTTTAATTTGATTATATGTGCAGTAATATATAAGATCAAATTAACTAGCATCATGCATTATGTTGCATGCATCTTTAATTTAATTTGGGCCAGGCCTTGATATGTACGTATGTAGCTTAATATGTACAGTTTGGCATCCATATATAGTTCTATACTAGCTCTTGATCTGAGGAGAATTACCTCCCCTATATATGCTGCAAAAGATTGAGGTTTAATGGTTGCATGGTGCAGCCTAGCTTATTCAGTCAACTCCAAGAACACAATATATAAGCATGCATTGTACTAGCAAATCCAAGTTCCCATTCGGTCCTCCATGAAAAATCCCCCAGTTTGTCCTTGCTGGGAGTTCCCTTGAAGGATTGTAGCATTGATTGGGTTACCAAAAGCAGATCCAGAATCTATGAACGGATTAAACGATGAGGTAACTTCTTCACCTTCAACCTTAGCTTCCTCTCTTCAACACATTCGTCTTTTTCCCTTTCTCCCTTTCTGCACTCATGTTCAGATTATCTTTTCACAGCCACCTGGTTTAACAAAGCAGAAATCACAAGGCAATGCCCATAGCGAACCGCCTCAAACACATTAAATGAAAGTTGTCCTTCCCACACAAGGATTCGGGGCTAATCCCAGGCTTGATGCATTGAGGGCATGCAAAAAATTCAACAGAAAACTTCAGGAGTTATGGCTGATCACAGTGGCTCAATGCGAGAAGATTCAGGCAGTCATGTAGAATCTCCAGTTCTGGGATCTGATTATCCTATGAAAAAGATGAAACCACAACATAAACCCATCCTAGATTTTTCTTTCAGAGACAAAACAAAGCCTTTTTGTTAAAGAAACTATGGACTTTGATCTGTTAACTTCTGGGTAATCAGGCAGGAATCCAGTGAAGGCTTATTATGGAGAAGCCGATAAGCATACGAGCTCACAATCACATCTCTTGATTCTAGCCAAGAAGATGAAAGTGTTAGACTGAAATATCACATGCATCATTATAATATGTGATAATAGGATCGACTAACCTCCAGCCATAGTTCTTGATACGGTTGAGTGATCCGGACTGCTACAGAGATAACGAGTATTTTGTCTCTCACTTTACTCAGCTATCTCTAGATGGTGTATGAGGTATGTAATGTGAGCAGTGAGAGGACTAGTGACCTTATATAACCACTGGCCATCATTGTGGTTGATTGTCTTTAGGTCTCCTAAACCCTAACTAGACTCCTAATCATAATGGTAGTCTAGCTATTAGGTTATTAGTGTTGCACCACATATCAAATACTGAATATTATCATAACTTATCCTAATGTTATAATAATAGTAACGGATAAATGTTACATTCTCCCACTTTGTGCAAGCACCACCACTCAATAACAGAAAAACATCAACCATAATGATATGTTCTCATTAGCGTGAGTAGTATCCATTATGAGCAAATGCAACCTGCCATTGGGCACTTAATTAGGAAACAAAACCCAACGAAATAAACCCTATGTTTATTCCAAGTCCCTGAAGTACATTTTCTCATCAATATAAAGTAAATGAAGGTGTACACGCTTAATTGAGAAAATGTCTGAATGCCAAAGAATTTTATTGAAACTGAATGTATATACAAATCACAAAGTGGATGAAAGTCTCATTTTCTGAACCAGATCCTTGAATTAAATTGAAGGCATGCATTTAATCAAGGGATCTGCTAACACCAACTCAGTATTAATGTGTTCAAAGAATATAACTTTATTTTTGACACACTCCCTAATTGCTAAGAACTTGATGTCGATGTGCTTAATTCGACACCCACTTTTGTGGTCTTAGCTAGGAAGACTGTAGCTGAGTTGTCAGAGTAGACATTCAATGGCTTAGATATAGAATCCATAATTCTAAGCCCAGAGATAAAATTCTTTAGCCAAACACCCTGTGGAGTTGCCTCGAAACTGGAAACGAACTCGGCTTCCATGGTAGAAGTACCATGAGATAGCCCCACTGGCCATAATAAAGACGCACCCTGAAGTTGATTTCGAGAATCAACACGGCCAGCGAAGTCCGCGTCTGAATAACCGACAACATCTAAATTGTCCGTCTGCCTAAACCCAAGCTTGTAACCTTTGGTTTATCTTAGATACCATAGAACCCTCTTTACAGCTCTCCAATAGTCTAACCCCGGATTCTGTTGGTAACGCCCAAGCATTCCAACCGCAAGAGCAAGGTTCGGCCTTGTACAGACTTGAATATATCCAAGACATCCAACAAGGGATGTTTTCCATGGATTCTTTCTCCAAATCATTTTTCGGACATTGGTCCAAACTGAATTTATCCCCCTTAGATATGGGAGCAGCGTTTGGTGAACAATTTTGCATATGAAATCTCTCTAAAACTTTGTTTATATAGGTTTCTTAAGATAAACCCAGTATACCCCGAGACCTATCTCTATGAATTTTAATGCCAACAACATAAGAGGCATCATCCATATCCTTCATATCAAAGTTCTTAGAAAGAAATTGTTTCACATCACGAAGCATCCCCTTATCATTGGTGGCAAGTAAGATGTCATCCACATATAAAACAAGAAAGTAAATTTTACTCCCACTCACCTTTTGGTATATACAGTTATCTGAGGGATTTTCAACAAAACCAAATGAAGAAATTACCCCATCGAATTTGATATACCATTGACGGGAGGCTTGTTTTAAACCGTATATGGATTTCTTAAGCTTACATACTAAATGCTCACCACCCCTAGAAGAGAAACCTTCAGGTTGTTTCATATAAACCTCCTCTTCTAGATCACCATTTAGGAAAGCAGTTTTCACATCCATTTGTTGCAACTCAAGATTGAAATGTGCAACTAATACCAGAATGACTCGAAGTGAATCTTTCTTTGATACAGGAGAAAAGGTCTCCTTGTAATCGATTCCTTCTTTTTGAGTAAATCCCTCGGCAACAAGCCGGGCCTTGTATCTCTTAATGTTTCCTAATGAGTTTCTTTTAGCCTTAAAGACCCATTTACAACAAACGGCCTTGGCCCCATTAGGCAACTCAATAAGATCCCAAACTCCATTGTCCTTCATGGAATTCATTTCATCTTTCATGGCTTCCAACCATAAGTCAGACTGTGCACAATTTGTGGCTCGAGAGAATGTTTCAAGATCATTTTCGGCCCCTATGTCAGATTCTTGTAGATACGAAACATAATAACTAGGAACTGCTGATCGCCTTATCCGAGTATACCGTCTTAAAGTTGGACCTCCACCGCCTTGCACAGGCTGCAGGTTAACTACCTCTTCAGGAACTGGTGGCAGTTCTTGAATTGGTTCAATCTGCATCGGCTCAGAATCTTGCTGTATATCCTGAGTTGGTTCAACCATTGGTTCGAAATCTAGTTCAGGCGGTTGCTGTAAGTCCTGAACTGGTTCTTCCAAAGGCTGATCCTCAACAGTTTGTGGAATCTCAACAGTAGGTGGTAAATCTGCAGGCGGAACTAAAGGAGCAATGCGGATAAGTACAACCCCACCAGATGACATAGAAGGTCGAGAGTCAGTATGATCGAAGGAACGAACTAAGTCCTTAAACCGATCACTCCCACTAATCAAGTCATCTTCAAGAAATTTAGCATTCCTTGATTCCACTATCCTAGTAGTATGAGATGGACAACAGAACCTATAACCCTTAGAAGATTGTGCATATCCAATAAAGAAAGCACTAATCGTCCTTGGGTCAAGTTTCTTCTCGTGTGGGTTATATATCCTCACCTCAGACGGACATCCCCAAACACGCATATGTTGCAAACTCGGTTTCCAACCTTTGAATAACTCAAAGGGTGTCTTAGGGACAGCCTTGGTTGGAACACGGTTTAATATATATGTTGCCGTCTTAAGTGCTTCATCCCACAACGACTTCGGAAGCTTAGAGTTGCTAAGCATACTCCGCACCATATCCAGAAGGGTCCGGTTTCTTCTTTCAGCTACACCATTTTGGTCCGGAGAACCAGGCATGGGGTATTGGACAACAATCCCATGCTCTTGAAGAAACTTAGCAAAGGGACCAAGTGCTTGTCCATTCTCAGTATATCTACCATAGTATTCACCACCCATATCAGACCTAACTATATGTATTTTCCTGTTACATTGGTTTTCAACTTCAGCTTTAAATGATTTAAAGGCATCCAATGCTTCATGTTTATGATGAAGTAAATACACATAGGAAAATCTTGAGAAGTCATCAATAAAGGTGACGAAATATTTCTGACCAGATATTGTCATATCAGGACAACATATGTCTGTATGAATAATTTCCAATAACGTTGAACTTCTATTGGCACCTTTCTTTGACTTGTTTGTCTGCTTACCCTTAATGCAGTCAATACAAGTCTCAAAGTCAGTATAGTCTAGAGTAGAAAGTACTCCATACTTTACCAACCTTTTAATACGCTCAAGGGAGATATGACCTAATCTCCGGTGCCACAACATTGAGGAATTGTCGTTAATACTACACCGTTTGGTGCCGTTTTGAACATGTAAAGAAATGTAAACTGAATCATTCTTTAATTTAAGACGGAAAAGACCATCAGACATTGTACCAGTACCAACACAAGTAGAATAACAAAATAACTTGAAATCATTGGCATTAAATTCAAAAGAATATCCGAAGGGTACAAGTCTAGATACTGAAACTAAGTTCCTAGAAAAACTAAGAACATAAAAAGTCTTTTCTAACGTCAATACAAAGCCATTGTCCAAAACTAAATTGCAAACTCCGACAACAACGACGCTAGCATTAAGATAATAACTAGCAAGCTCAACAACGGGGAAACTCAAGATAGTTCCGAGGAACACACAAGACACCACACGGTTCAACGAAATACAATGTTGAACACTTAGCACGATTCACAACACCAAAGATCCTACATGGATACCTACCATAAAGCTCTAGACCTACGAAACATCAAGAAGACGCTCAAATAGTTCCACAAAAGAACATCGGGAGGCCAAAAGTTCAAAGACCGAGACAAACAAATCACGGGGAACAAATCCCATCTCAACACCATTGTGTTCCCCGCGGGTGGACCCACGGGTAGTGCCCCACCCGTGGTCCCACCCGCAGGTACAACACCCACAAGGCAACACGTTCCCGCGGGTAGGCCGGCGGGTGGTGCCCCGCCCACCGTTCCGCCCGTGGGTACGCCCCTGTTCCACAACAAATCCCTTCGGGGATTTTTTCCTCCAAACACAAATTCAAGTCCAAAGCACACCAAATCTCACCAAACACAACAAAATGACTTGAAGCAAGGAAAATGCCAAGCAATGGCACAAAGGAACCCTAAACACAAGCTCTAGATATGCAATATCACAAGATAATTGCATAAACTCTCACATTTCGTAGCAAAACACAAATAGAAGCCAAGAAATCATATATAGGTAAGAAAAATAGGTTTTGTAGAGCATGGGTTACCTCTTGAAGACCAAAAGACTCTTCTTACACCCCAACAAGCTCTCCACTAAGCTCACTAGCCAAACCCACTTCAAGATCAAACCAAAAGATCATAAAGATCCAACCTTTAAGAAAAAGACAACCAAGATGGAACCAAAAAGACTAGACAAGCTTAGATCTTACCCTTCTAGATGCCAAAATAGAGGAAAGATTGAATCTTGGAAGCAAAACTTGGAATCTTGACAAAGGCTTCTTTTGGCTTGAAGAACAAGCTACTCTTCTATTATAGAGAGAAGGTAGAGATATTTTCTAGGAAATGTAAGGGAATGAAATGAAGAAGTCTTCTAGGTTTAGGTTACAAAACTAGCTCTTGGTGAAAAGACAAGGATACCCTTACTAACTCTTAAAAAGTGTAAGGAACAAGGGAACTCCTCTCAAAGCACAAGGTACAACACAACTTAAAGATTGACTAGTCAAATACTAGTCCTTGAGTATCAAAAATCAGGATTTTAGGAATCAATTCCTCAAAAGAAATAGAATTAATTACTC